TCATCACCACCATTATCATCATCCTCATCCTCATCATCAGCATCATCATCGTCATCATCAATAATCATCATCACCATCATCACCATCATCATTTTCCTCTCCATCATCGTCACCATCATCATCAGCATCTCCACCATCCTCGTCATCATCCTCATCATCCTCATTATCATCAACGTCATCGCCATCGTCATCGTCGTCATCATTATCATACAATCACCATCATCATCAGCGTTATCATCATCATCGTCATTTTCATCATCATCATCATCATCATCATCATCATCATCATCATCATCATCATCATCATCATCATCCCCAGCATCATCACCAGCATCAGCATCATAATCAGCACTAGCTTCAGAATCAGGACCAGCTTCAGTACAAGCACCAGCACCATCGCCGTCACCATCATTGCCATCATCACCATCTTCATCATCATCATCATCATCATCATCATCATCATCATCGCCATCATCATAGCATCACTGTGATTTTTGCCATCGCCATCACTATCACCATCACCATCACCGTAACAATCATCATCATCACCACCACTACCATCATCATCATCATCATCATCATCATCATCATCATCATCATCATCATCGTCACCCTCACCATACTCAGCAGTTTTATAGTTTTTGTTATCATAACCACCACCGGCATCAGCACCATCGTCATCACCTTCGTCCTCGCTATCATCATCCCAACATCCACATCATACACTCACACTCACGTACTCACTCACATGCTCCCACACACGCACGCATTCACGCACACACACACACGCACACACACACGCTCAGCTTGAGAAAGTCTCGAGCGGAAGCCTCGGCTGTGAGTTAATCGAGAGGCCGTCTCGAGCGAGAGCCTCCTTCCACATAGGGCCCGCATTTAATGTTCGTAATCCGAGGCGGCCATTCTCAAACCTGCACCTGTCATCACTTTTGGGCTTCTGATGCCGGAATGTTGAGGAAGTCTCAAGCGGGAGCCTTGTCTGTGAGCGAATCGCGAAAAAGAAAGTATGGAGCAGGAGGCCCTTCCCTATGAGGCTCGCGCTTCATCTCAGCAGTCCGAGGCGTCCATCCTCAAACCTGTACCTGTCGATATCCGTAAGGGCTTCGCCCCCTGCCGCCGGCCCCCTCTCTCGGAGAATGGGCTATGGAAGAGCGAAGTCATGAGGCTTTGGCTTTGCCGAGAAGCAGTGTCGGGACCTATTTGTTTTTCGACCCTGACCCTGCCGATCTGCGTGAGGGGTGCCGCCGAATTTCAGACATGTGGCAAATCTCTTTTGTTTTTGGACCCTGACCCCGCCGATCTGCGTGAGGGGTGCCACCGAATTTCAGAAATGTGGCAAATCCTTTGTGTTTTTGGACCCTGACCCCGCCGATCTGCGTGAGGGGTGCCACCGAATTTCAGAAATGTGGCAAATCCCTTGTGTTTTTGGAGGCTGCTGACCCCGCCGATCTGCGTGAGGGGTGCCACCGAATTTTAGAAATATAGCAAATCCTTTGTGTTTTTGGACCCTGACGCCGCCGATCTGAGTGAGGGGTGCCACCGAATTTGAAACATGCGGCAAATCCTTTGTGTTTTTGGACCCTGACGCCGCCGATCTGCATGAGGGGTGCCACCGAATTTCAGAAATGTGGCAAATCCATAGTGTTTTTGGACCCTGACCCCGCCGATCTGCGTGAGGGGTGCCACCGAATTTCAGACATGTGGCAAATCCTTCGTTTTTGGACCCTGACCCCGCCGATCTGCGTGAGGGGTGTAAGTTTTTACCCTCCCAGGAATTCTGAGAATCCTCCCGGGGGAAGCTAACTAGGCTGGTTTTCGGCTCCCAGCCCTCGCGAGGACAGTAACAATTTACAGTAGGAAGCAGAAAGCAGTACTGTAACAATGGAAACTGGAAACTGGAACTGGTGCAGGGAGCAGCAAGCTTAAGCCTCGCAGCCTGATGGCCCCGCAAGGGGGCCGGCGGACTTTTGGGCTCCCGAGGCTTGAATCTTGAGGAAGTCTCGAGCGGGAGCCTCGTGAGAGCGCACTGTGAGGACTTTTTGAGCGGGAGCTCTTTCCCTATTAGGCCCGCGCTTCATGTTAGTAATCCCAGGCGGCCATCCTCACACACGTAACTGTCGTCACTTCTGGGCTCCCGAGACTTGAACGTTGAGGAAGTCTTGAGCAGAAGCCTCGTCTCTGAGTTCATCGAGAGGCTGTCTCGAGCGAGAGCCTCCTTCTCACCGGGGCCCGCATTTATGTTAGTAATCCGAGGCGGCCATCCTCAAACATGTATCTGCCATCACTTTTCGGTTCCTGCGGTCTGAATCGGGGGGAAGGCTATGGCGGGAGCCCCCCCCCATAGGGTTCGCACTGTGCCACGTCCTGCCTCGGCTCTTCGTCAGCTCGGCGTCAGTCTTGGAGGCGGTCGGTCAAAAGAGGGGGGGTCCTCGATGTAGCTGCCCCCCCTCGGGGGGTGAGGGGTGTCAAAACGTGACCTTTCCAGGGGCCGAAAAAGGACCCTCTGACACATCGGACCCCCTCCCAAAAAACCCAGGGTGGGGAGGGGGAGGGTTCCCCTCCGCGAAGGGAGGAGGGGTCGTGGAAGAGGAAAGAGACCCTCGTTAGACCACCTGTCGCCCAGAGGGCTGGTGGGACTCTTGGCTTCCGGTGGTAACCCATCGGTGGGAGCTTCGGGCGCAGGGGGGAACCCTTGTGTCCCGGCTGCCTGTGGTAACATATATATATATATAATATATATATATATATATATATATATATATCGGCCGCCGCCTCGGGCGCAGGGGAAAGCCCTTGATTCTGGTCTGCCGTCGGTGCCTCATCGGCTGCCGATTCAGGTGCAGCGGGAAGCCCTCGTGTCCGTTCTGCCCGTGGTAACCCATCGGCGGCCGACGAGCGCAGGGGGGAACCCTCGTGTCCAGGCTGCAGGTGGTAGCTCATCGGCGGCCGACTCGGGGGGCAGCCCTCGTGTCCAGGTTTCCGGTGGGAAACCTTGGGTCCAGTCCGGCCGAGGCGGCGAAGGCGCCAGGGAAAGTCGACATGCGTGCCCTGAGTAGAGGGGGGAGGAGGTGGATGGGGAGAAGAGGCAGGAGTAGGAGGAGGAGGGGGAGGAGGAGTAAGAGTAGGAGTAGGAGTCAAGCTAGCCAGCTCGAGCGAGTCAAGCATGGCATGCCCAGTCCCACCCGCCCTCCCACAACATAAGAAGCAAAGCTGGCACAACTGGGGGCCGAAGTCACACCGGCCAGCCGGTTTGGTACAGCTGATGCGGCCGCGATGGCGGTTGCCGACGGGAACTGGCGAGCGCGTGTTGAATGCCGCGCACGCATTGCCAGACGAGTCGAGAATGGCCCGGTACACCGCAGGAAGCCAGAGGTGGCCGGAGGAAGCCCGACGGTCTGACAGGACACCCCAAAGCATTTTTGTGAAAAAGCATTGGGTTTTTGATGTTTTTATGTTGAAATGCTTGCAAACACACGGTGTTCGGTAGGATTCTGACATGAACGCGCGAGTGTGCTCTTTGTGGTATTTTTTGCACAGGATTCGCGGCCTGGGTGCATGACAGAGCATCGCGAGTGCACCGCGCGATGACGTGAAATCGCTGGATTTGACAGAATTCTTAAGATTCCTATGGTTTTCCTATGATTTCAGCAAGAGAGCCCGGGCGGGAAATTTGTACAATTTTTGTGAAAAAAGCATTGGGTTTTTGATGTTTTATGTTGAAATGCTTGCAAACACACGGTGTTCGGTAGGATTCTGACATGAACGCGCGCGTGTGCTGTTTGTGGTATTTTTTGCAATGGATTATCGCCGTGGACGACAGGACGTCCATGTCGAGAGGAAAAAATAAAAACATGTTGATTTTATATTGTTTTTTACAGGTTAGGATGGGACCACCTGGATGCGGCCCCTATCGGCCGGCCTGAGGGGGGAGTAGGAGTATATTCTAATCAGGAATAAGGATAGAAGTAGGAGTAGGGGGAGGAGGGGGAGGAGGAGGAGGAGGAGGAGGAGGAGGCGGAGGAGGAGGAGGCGGAGGAGGAGGAGGAGGAGGAGGAGGAGGAGGAGGAGGCAAAGCAAAGGATCGGAAGATGGCCTGCGTAATCGCAAGCAACACGATGAGGATTCCTCGGGGACTAGTTCGGAGTATTTTCATGTGGGGTCATCACGTCGGGCTGCGCAGTGCCCGTGGCGGCGTCGTGAGCAGCTCGCCTGGGGCGTGAGACCACGGCGTGGGTGCCAGGCAGCACCGAAGTAACAAGAAGTGACGAACGAACAGCGCACACCTACACCCATAGGGAGGTTGGAGGGGGGAGGACTGGCTATGGGTATGTGTGCGGGTTGTCGGACCCCTGGGGAGGCTCCCGTTCGAGCGGGGGCCCTCGTCCGACAACACGCGCCCATGGCCCCGTCCGTCCCCCCGATTGGTATGTGTGTGTGTGTGTGTTGCTCGTTCGTCCAAGAAGGGGGGCTCAAGTACGACTCAGAGCGCGGACCTTCGAGAGCTGATCTCTGTCTCGTTTTCTTTCCTTCTCTCCGTGGAGCTCCAGGCTCGAGGCCTCGCAAGTGGGGGCCGAGCAGATGGGTTGGAGGATCGGCAATGCGGCTCGGCGTGGGGCCCGACTTTCTCCACGCCGACGTCGCCGATGCATCGCCGACCGACGCCATCTGCCCCTTCCCCGGGAGCAGTGTTTCATCCTGAGTCGTTTTTGGACGGCCACGAGGCCCAGCAAGGGCCCCCGGAGGCCGAAAAGAGTCAACACACACATTCCCGCCATGATTTTTTCACGACCCGAGGGGGTCTGGGCGCGGTGCGATCCTCCGACCCGACCTGCTCGGAGAGCCCATCTGGCATTAAGTCGGGCGTGTCCCTCTACGGGGGGGAACTCCAAAACATAGTACAAAAAACATGCTCCGGGGACGATTCTTCGACTCTTTTCGAACCTTCGTGAACACTTCTTGTCACTATTTTTCCCTCTCTCGTCCAAGATCCCCCACTTGAATGCTCTTATGACTGTCTCTGTTCCCCCTGTAGGAGGACACGCCCGACCTAAGGCTGGCATGGGGCCTCCGCAGGCGCTCCTGCGCGGCGGCTCCGGCGCTCCCGCGGAGGCCGAGGCGTCGGGCCGCGCCGGGCCCGCGCTGTGCGCCCTCGAAGCTGCGGCGGCCGCCCTGCGGCTCCGGCTGGCGGCGGCGCTGCCTGGCGATCACATCCCTGCCCCCTGCTGCTCCTTCTCCTGCTGCTCCTCCTCCTGCTCCTCCTGCTCCTCCTGCTCCTCCTGCTCCTCCTGCTCCTCCTGCTCCTCCTCCTCCTCTCGCCTCCTCCCCCTTCCCCTTCCTCCTCCTCCTCCTCCTCCTCCTCCTCCTCCTCCTCCTCCTCCTCCTCCTCCGCTCACCTCCTCCCCGTTCCACTCCTCCTCATCTTGAGTGTCTTTCAAGTCATTGTCATGAGACCAGGCGGGAGGTTTTTTAGCCGTGTTCGGCCTCTAGGGGCCCTCGCTGGGCCCCGGGGCCGTCAGGAAACGACTCACGATGAAAAGTCGGTATCCAGGAGGTGGTCGAGATTTCCGGGGAGCCCGTATTGAAAAAACCAGGGCAAAATGGGAAATTTGAGATTTGGGCGTTGTATATTTTTCGCACTGGGCGTTTCTGCCCAGTTGCGGGGCCCAGGGCCATCACACATGGATGCTAATTGAGAAATGCTGCAGGAAGATGGGTCCAGGATTCAGGTCCTGATTTTTTGCGATGCTGCGTTCATTTCGCAGCGCTTCCCGGACTTACCTTTGACGCCTCCTGCGCTTTCGCTTGCGGCTGCGACCAACAAAAACATTTCGCAGCGTCGGATATCAGGGAAGTATTCGTGTTTGCATCATCATCATCATCATCTTCTTCTTCTGCGAAGTTCTTCCTGTTCTGGTTTCTTTTCTAGTTTCTCCTATTCATCGGGGAGAAGTCGGATGGCTGCCGCATCGGGTCCCCCCGTCCACCAACGGTTGCCAGGCGAAGTGTCTTGACCAGGGAAGGCCAAGTCCGAACACCTATGTCCGACGACTTCGCCCGAAGCCTCGTCCGAACACATTCTGCACGACGCGAGGGTTTCAGGGTACGGAGGCCGAAAACAGCCAGAACCCCTCCGTCGTGATTCTTCCACGACGCGAGGAGGCGTGGTTCTCGGGTCATGTCTCGGGTCTCCAGCGGCCCTTCGGGACGATTCGTGCATTCCTGGGACGCTCTCGGCGAGGCGCAGCTGCTGGAAAGCATCCCTAGAAGAGACAGCCCCTGGGAGCCGGCGCCAACGTCCAAAGTCCTCGAGCCTCGAACGACGCGAGGATGGCAGGGGGTGAAGGCGAGCCGCTGCTGTGGGAGGACTTCTGGACCGCCGCGAGCCTGCTGGGCGCCTTTCGCCGCTTCGAGCCCGCGCTCACGCTGCTGCTCGCGATCGAGCCGTTCCTTGCGCGCTGCGGCTGGATCGCGCTGGACAGGCCCCGCTCGCGAGACCCGTTATCGCAAGTCCTGACGCATCGCGTGTCCTCACCAGCCCATCCAGAAGCTGTTCGCCGGGCGAGTCGTCTTGATCAGGGAAGAGTAGAAGCATGCAGTGCAACAACCGCCTTGGAAGTGCTTTCTCGGGGTTCTCTTGGAGCCATCTTGGGTCTCTCTTGGGATCCTCGCGGAGCCACTTGGGGCACTCTTGGGGCCCTCTTGGGGCTCTTTTTGTGGGTCTAGGGGCCCTATTGGGGCTCTTTGGGGGGGTCTGGGAGGCCTCTTGGGGCCAACGTGGCCCCCGAGGCTCAAAAAGAGAGGGGGAACGGATTCAGCCCCCCCCTCGGAGGCTCAAACATGTTGTCTTGAGGCCCCTTGGAGCCGTTTTGGAGCGCTCTTGGGCGCTCTTGGGGCCATCTTGGAACCCTCTTGGGTCCCTCTTGGGGCTCCCATGCGCCATCTTGGGGCCATTTTGGGGCCTCCGAGGCCCATCGGAAGCGATAAGGCGAGAAGGCAACCAGACCATCCAGAAACGATGCCCAGGGGAAGTGCCTCGATCAGGGAAGTGGGCAGCACACAGAGGAAGGGTCCCCCAGTGGAGGCCTCTTGGAGCGTCTTGGGGGCCTCTTGGCGGTCCCGGACGTTTCTTAGAGCGCCGCAGTCGCTGCCGCCACCGCCACCGCCGCCGCCGCCGCCACCGCCGCCGCCGAAGCCGCCGCCGCAGCCGCCGCCGCTGCCGCCGCCGCCCCCGCCACCGCCGCCGCCGCCGCCGCCGCC